ATGTCAGCACACACATCAGGCAGGTTTTCAAGCCACTACATCTGGAACTTGAATTATGCAGGTGGTCATATAGGATCTAGCAGCCTAACCACGGTACCACCTGGCTGGTCCCCGACACTATCTTCATAACCATGATCTACCTCCAGCCTTGGCCAGTACTGCTTCGTGTGTGCATGCATGCCCAGCTCACTCAGAGAGGCCTACACACGCAAACCCAGCATCTGCCCAAGTGGACCAGCCTCCCAGAGCATCATGTGCCTCTGCTATACCACCACCTGACCCCTGAGAGAACTCTAAATGTTCCGGTGCCACACCTTTAGTCAGTCAGCGGTTATAATGGGTAAATGTCTTCTTATACTCTGAAGCTGACTTCCACTTGCTAATGGTATATTTTGGTGAACAACTGTTCATCATACGTGGTTCCATTTATATCTTATTTAAGAAGTCTTTTTCTATTCTGGAAGGCCATGAAAATATTCTTCCATATTTTTTTAAAAAATATTTATTTATTTATTTAATTTTATTTGGTTTTATTATTTTTTAATTTGATAAGAGGAAGAGCAACAGAGAGGAGAGAGAGAGAGAAAAGGAATGAGACCAGCGGTTAGCGTAATGGCTATGTCGCTGAACACCCACGTAGTCGACCACGGTTCGAGTCCCAGACCCGGTGGCTTAAACTCATGCCTGGCACGTGTGCGTGGGTGCCCAAGATCCTGAGAGGAGAAAGGAGGAGAAGGGATTGTGGCGTGGCCATCCCTCTTGGGGGTGATTTCTTGCTTTCTATCTCTCTGTCTCTCTCTGTCTCTTTGGGGAGTGCACATGCCCTTATAGCAAAAACCTCTCAAAAAAAAAAGAAAAAAAAAAGAAAAGAAAAGAAAAGAAAAGGAATGTGAGAAAGCAAGCTTCCAGGTCTGAGACTTGAACCATAGTTGACCATGTGGGAGTTCAGAGCCCTTAGCCACAATGCCACCTCCTGGCCCCTTCTTCCATATTTTCTAAAAACATTGTCTTCTGAGATCCCTAGACCCACTGAAATTGAGTTTATTATACAGTGTAAAGTGAGTGTCTTTTTTTTTTTTTTTTGAGAGGTTTTCGCTATAGGGTGCGTGCGCTCACCAGACAGACAGAGAGAGACATAGAGACAGAAAGCGAGAAATCACCCCCCAGAGGGGATGGTCACGCCACAATCCCTTCTCCTCCATTCTCCTCTCAGGATCTTGGGCACGCACGCACATGCACCCGGCGTGAGTTTTTTAAGCCACCGGATCCGGGACACGAACCGCTGTTGACTACGTGGGAGTCCAGCGACATAGCCATTACGCTAACTGCTGGTTCCCTGAGTGTCTGTTTTTTTGTTTTCCCCACCACCCCTGCATCTGTATCCACTGCCTCTAGCCTGGTTTGGATTATTATACCAACCCCCTAAAGGCATACCAACCATTAGGAGGTTCATATAATCAACAAATCTCAACTACAAATCTATTTTCATCCACCTTCAATGGAGCCACCAGAGTAATTGTAAAAAATAAGAATTTGATTGCATAAGTTTGGAGAGAGTCCATCTCAATTCCTTCACACACATGGAGGGTGTGTGATTTGGAGCCAGCCTGTCCCTACACACTGCTCCCCACTTCCACGTCCTCTCTTGCCCAGAGACTCATCTCCTCTCTGTTAGGCCCCTGGGCCTATGTATGGACAGTTCTTCACTTGCAAAGCTCTGCCAACTCCCTATCCTGCTTTGACTAGGAAATAAATCTCTGCCTGTTCTTGAAACTCGAACTGAAGTTCTCTCTTCCTCTGTGATGCTGTCCAAGACTCCGCAGTGGGCCTAGTTTTAACTATATATTTACAATGTAGTTGTGAAAACCACTAGCATTGTTTTTGTATTTTTCAGAAATATAGCATTATGGGGGCTGGCAGGTGGCGCGATGGTTATGGTGCTGGACTCCCACGTGGCTGACAATGGTTCAAGTCCAGGACCTGGAGACTTGCTTTCTCACTTTCCCTTTCTCTGTCTCTGGTCAATTTAAAAAATGAACAATAATGGAGACCAGCAGATGGCATAATGGTTATGTCATTGGACTCTCATGTAATTGACTGTGGTTCGAGTCCCAGATCTGTTGGCTTAAGACTGGAGAACATAAAAGTTTTAAAAATTGTAATGGACACTAGAGACAAAGTGGAAAGAAAGTGTGAGAGGGGAAGAGCATAGGAAATTTTGGGGGGAAATGGAGAGATAAGACACTTGTGGGACACAGATAAGGTGTATTATCGGTTGACGCGGATGTGTATGGTGGGCTCAACTGGGCTGGACTGAGGTGTATATCATGCTGGGTAAAGTCCCTTCACAATCTATATGATGTATAGTGATTTAATGTATGAATAATAATGAAAATAAATATATTAAAAAATAATAAAATTCACACTGGGCGCATATGTTTGTGTGCCCAAGATCCTGAGAGGAGGCTGGAGAAGTGGAGACTTGTGGAAAAGTGACTAGACCAAAGAAAGGAGGGTGGGCTTTCAGGACCAATAAATTGTGAGAGAGTTACTTGGAAGATATATGTGGAATTAAAGATTGTTTACGTGGACTTCTCCAAGCCAACCCCATCTCTGCTGTGTGTGAGGTGGAGACCTGTGGAAAAGAAATGTTTGCCCCCTCTTTTAGGAAGGAGGAGAAAAGACAGAGCAATGTTTCTGTCTGTGCTTTTACTCAATTTTCTTATGCTCACAATGTTCTCATGTCAAGGTGGCTTATCTGGGGAGTAGGGTAGCATATTTGGTTCCCTTCATAAGTGTTAAATAAGGAAAAAGAGCATAAAGCATGGTGCCTATTATGATTCAGGAGAATGGAAGAGATGGGATGAGTTAGATTCAAAATGAGCATAGCAAAAAAGAAAGAAAAAAGAAGAAAGAAAGAAAGAAAGAAAGAAAGAAAGAAAGAAAAAAAGAAAGAAAGAAAGAAAGAAAGAAAAAGAGAGAGAAAGAAAGAAAGAAAAAGAGAGAGAAAGAAAGAAGGAAATGGTATCTGCAATGGAGAAGGGTCCATGTCACCAGGAACAGGCCACCACAGACAGTGAGAAGGACACATAAGAGTGGTCTTGCTTCCCATCCCTCATTCTCTTCTACCCAGACAGAGTATTCCCAGGCCTCAGAGTATCTCAGACTCAGCAGAGCCCCCACCAACAAATGGTGACTGATTTATTTCTCCCAATGCTTGCTCTTCTTTTTTTCTTTTTCTTTCTTTCTTTTTATAATTTGCCAGAGGGCACGTGCTCTCACTAGAGGGAGAAAAAGATAAAGAGAGTGGGAGAAAGCGCTTCCCAATGGGGCGTAGTCACATCACAAGCTCTTCTACTTCTCTGTCCTTTCGTTTTTTTTTTTTTTTTTTTTTTTTTGGGGGGGGTTTTGCTTACGGAACCGTGGCTCACCTA